GGCTCACCGCAACCTCCGCCTCCCGGGTTCAGGCAATTCTCCTGCCCCAGCCTCCTGAGTCGCTGGGATTACAGGCACACGCCACCATGCCCAGCTAATTTTTTGTATTTTTAGTAGAGATGGGGTTTCACCATGTCGACCAGGATGGTCTCGATCTCTTGACCTCGTGATCCACCCGCCTCGGCCTCCCACAGTGCTGGGATTACAGGCTTGAGCCACTGCGCCCGGCCTCTATTTTAATTCTTAATTTTCACAACAACTGCATTAGGGAGGTATTATCATTTATCTTATCTGAGAGAGAGTGAAGTGACTTGTCCTACTTCTCACTGCTTATATGTGGTTAAGGAATGCAAAAATGTTCAGGAACCCAGAGTCATAGTGTTATCTCTCTCAAACAAAAGAGCTAGGACTCAATTATCCCTTGGTGTTCAGTTAAACCACTGGGTTCTCTTTTCTAAAGTCTCTCTTTTCTAAGGTCAAGGCTATGCTGAAGAGGGAATAAGGCAATAACTAACACTGACACTAGATAGGTCTGATTTAAATCCTAGCCCCACTGCTGCCTAGCTGTCTGACCTGAGGCAAGTCACACAGTTCTCTGAGCTTTCATTGACTAGTCTATAAAATAGAACAACAACACGTCGCTGATTATTGTGAAGTTTAAATAAGACAGACACGTAGAGCACTGGGCGCTTGTGTATGATGTTGGGCTATTTACAAGTTCAACTTTGACTTTGATGGTCCTGGGGCTGGAGAGTCTTGACTGTCAGAAGGTGCGATGCAAAACGATATATGTGTGTTGGGAGAGAGGGGTGTCAGAAAGGAGAAAAACCAACAGAAAGGGGGTGAGCCTATGGAAAGAATCGGAGTCTGTGACTGCCCAGCCCATTGGACCTGGAAGATAAATCACAGAGTATGGAAGAACAATAGAATGGAAATTAGGAGATATGACTTCTAGGCACAGTGTTGCTAATTCAATCATGTGACATCAGATTCCTCTGTTTTCTGAGCCTCAGTTTATCGCCCAAAAAAAATGGTGGGGGCCATCAGAGAATCT